CCCCTTCCCACCTCTTCCTCCCCCACCATCACCTCTTCCTCCCCCACCATCACCTCTCCCTCTCCCCCCTTTCCCTTTCCCACCCCTCCTAGACCCAGTTCCAGACCCAGTTCCAGTCGAAGAACCACCAGCTTTCGCCACCCTAGCAGCCTCCAACTCCTGGGCTCTCTTCGACTCCTGATCCCACCACTCTTGGAACGCCTGCTCCTCCTGGATCTCCTGCAGACTCCTCTTGGCCACGGATTCCTTGATGACTTCCTGTTCCCTTCGCTGCTGGCCGATGATATCGGACATGGACAGCTGGAGAGCAGGCTCGGCTTGTGGGGTGGGCGTCTTGTAAGATTTCGAGTGCGGAACGAGAGGACGTGGTGGTTCGGGCTTTTTGTACGTTTGAGTTGAGGGTCCAGGGACGGGAGAGTGTTTGGTTAGTGTACTAAAACTGACGCTCCTCTGTTGTCCTGGGAACCTCGTGTCAGGTGATGCGGTTCGTCTTATTTCTCTAGACGGGGTGGGGGAGGCGAGAGACTTTGGACTTGGTGCGATAAGGTAGGAGGAAGTTGGCTCTCCACTGAGAACATCTTTCAGAGATGTCTTTGGTCCTCTGGCAGCGACCTGCCAAGGCGAAGACGGCTTCTCGCCAACCTTTCCCACAATTATCAGAGGTTGGGCAATAGCTTCTTGCTGCGCTTTCTGTATTTGCTTTTTTTCCCTTTGTGAAAGCTTCGAGAGGCTCTCCTTCTTGATTGAATCTTCTCGTGCTTTTTGAATAGAAAGACTCATTGAAAGATTGGAGGTACGAGTGGAGGATGCTTGTGCCATAATCTCTTTCAGTCCGAGTTTTGAGGATGGCAATGGCGGCGATGACCAGCTTTTGGTCGCTGCGGGCGACGGCGATTTCTTGTTCTCTTTGTCACCCAAACTTGGAGACGCCAAATGGTCGTAGGATAGTTGCTCCTTTTCCGCGAGTGATCTTGGCTCGCGACCTTCCCAAGGACCATCGTGGTTGTCGGCATTACCTGAGTCTGTTGAAGTCGGTATTTTGGGTAGAGCAGACGGTAAGAGCTCGTCATCCTCCATGTCAAACATGAGATCTTGAGTAGAGTCTTTGGGTCGAATGGTTGGACTAAACGGCTCATTTCTGGTCGTCTTTGCCTTTCTTTGCTTCTTTTCCTGACTGGGTGATCCTACGACAGAATCATCCAGACTTCCAATACGCCCTGCCCGCATTGACGAGGAAAGTCGATTGTCATCGTTTTTGAGACTTGCTCGGAAAGCCATGTCTCGAATCCTGCGCTGCCGTTCCTCTTCAATATCGACTACTAGGTCAAGATTCCGTTCATGTAGCATGAGCTCAAAAGTCCCACTCTTAGCATACTTCAGGCAGGCTAATTGATTCTTCCGAACTACATCATCTAGTTCCTCAAGCAGCTCTTCGTCAAGTTCGTTCAACCAGTGGTTCTCCAGGAGAGATTCCAGTTGCAAACATATATATTCGAGTGCTGAGTCTTTGAATTCAGCCACGGAACAAAAAGCCACGGAGTTCAACAAATAGCACACATTTCGAACATTGACTGCGTACAAGATTAGTGAAAATTTAGAACGGGAAGCGTGTTACTTACCAAACCGACCAAGTACCTCCTGGCAAATTTGAGATAATCGGTCAATCATGAGCTCATTTGCTGTAGCCATAACGTCCATGACAAGGTCAGAGAACTCATCAAGATCACTGGAAACGACGTGGTCAAACAGTTCCGTTCCAATATCAGTATAGAGATGGCGTAGCACAAGTCGGAATGCTTTGGGATCGATATGTTTCAAATCGACCCTAACAATATTTGAATTATCCTCTCGTCGACTAGCAAGCCACTGTCCACCTGCACGACCGTTGAATAGTCCATCGAAAAAGGGACATCTTCGACATAGCAGAGGGCTATGGGCAGCCATTTCAGCATCGTCCAGTTCAATAATAGTGTCTGCATCGTCAAAGAACCTTGGATCATCAAAAGCAAGGCCCAAATCAAGATCCATTCGACGTTCCGGCGTCGTCATGAGACGAACCGACGATTCAAGTTTGGTTGTTTTGAGATGAGCTGCAGTTTTCATGAGTTCGATGCGAATTTGTCTGTATCTGAAAGCCATTTTCGGGAGGTGGCGGGTATAGTTCCAAATATCGATAACTGTGTCGCTATACAGGTATACCACCAAAATAGCAATCGAGATGAAGTCCAGACCTTGAAAAACTATCCTTGGTCGTTCGCCAATCAACGCTGGCTGTATAACGAGAATATCCGGAACACTTGCTTGTCCGTTATTGCGAAAAATTCTGAGAGCAATTCGAAGCACTGAGCTTCGCCCCAAAATGAATCCATGCGTGGGGATCGATATCTCGGAAGTTGTGGTGGCAATGTCCATGTCATATCCACCGGTATGCCCAATCAAATGCCGACTTCACAATTAAAGGTTAGTAGATAATTCGGTAAACATGCAAACCCAAATTCAGACCTCCTGATGCGTATTGAAACTTCAATCGGCATAAAATAGGTTGGTTTGAAGCGCCATAGACACTCATCACTTGATGCAATCTGGATCAAGCATCATCAAACTCTTTAGAGCACGCCCGGCAATATATTGAGAATCCACGCTCAAAACTGAATCAAGACGTAACTAGAAAAACGTCACACATACCTTACGTCGACCTCGAGATCCTCAGACGTCAAAACAGCACTTTTCAAAGGCTCTAAAAGATCCTTTGGTAGCGCCGGTGCCCAGAAACGTGGAGAAACTGTATCGACACCGCTTAAAGGCTCAGGAGCTTCGAGATCACGCAAACTAAGTAGTGGCTTCAAATCTTCCCACAAAGTCTGGTCGTTGACACTAATTTGCGTTTTGGTAACATCACAATCCTTTCGAATTGCAGCATACACTCCAAAAGCCGTGCTTCTTACAGCAGCAACATTTGCGAGACCCGGAACTCTTTGAAACTTGAAATCTTTGCGATGAAAGGTTTCCGTCCCAGCAAAGGCATTCTTGACTTTTGTGCGTTTCACTCGTCTCCAGACTGCTCCCGCTTGGGTACACACAATGACGGAACCGTCCTCAGTGACAGACGCGGATTTTATACCATCCCAATGGCCTTTACGCAAAGACCACACTCGTTGTGGGTCGGGTAATGAGTCTCTTATCTTTGAAGGATTAGTGGTGCTCGTGGTAGAGTTTGCATCAACAGCACCAACATTGACCGTAAACAAACTCTCTGTAGAGTAGGCGGCAATTGTATCACCAGCGGCTGTGATGCTGGTAATATTGTCAGCTCGCGTATCGTACCGGGTTGTTAGAGTATTGGATTGGATGCCGTAGTTATTGAAGACCTCATTGGGAGGAAATTTAAGGAATTTGTAGCCATAATTTGCAAACACGCAAACGCTATGGTTTTCGAGGAGTACAATTGTAGCCCTGTTGATTGCTGAAACCATGGCGATTGGGGCTTTGAAAAGAGATGGCGCAACCCTACGTGGAACTACTTGTACCTCAAGGCTTCGAGAGTCGGAATCCATAAGACCCAGTTGACCTTCGTTCCGACCCCAAGTGAACAAGGAAGTTGAAGTATAGGCGACTGAATGGATGGCAGATGCAGCTACGCCAACTGTTATCTCTTTTTTCAATGGACCAAATATCTGGCGAGGGGTGGCACTGATAGGGTCCTCGTCTTTTAGAGTGGGACGTGGTAAAGAGTATCCCAAAACACCATTGGTATTCTGGCCCCACGCAAAGACGTTGCCCGACGAATCTATAGCCAGAGAGTGGTTGTTTCCCAAAGCAACCTGAACAATCTTCTTTCCAGAGAATCCATCTTCGACGCATACGTAAGAGAATCTAGTAATCTCGTCACCAGTTCCAAGTCGACCTCCCTGGCCAAAGCCACACATAAACAAGTTGCTCTCCGGGTCCTCGGTCAGAATAGCACTGTGCATTTTAGAAAGTGCCACATCCCGTATAACAATAGGTCGATTAGCTATGAGAGTAGGAAGGTCATCGACGGATCTGGGATTGACACTAGCCAAGCGGTTGTAGAGGGCATCCTGGGTGTCTCGAATCGTTTCTAGATACTCTCTGAAAAAGCGAAAGAGAAGATGATCAGGACGTTTTAACGAGACCCTTTCCGGATACTGCCGGTTATCGTTATCACCAAGACCAAGGTTATAGTTCTTGCTGCTTCCCCAAGCAAACACCTCATCGCCATCAAGAGGGAAATTGGCGTGCCGGTCTTCGCCAGATTTCAAGTCCTCAGATTCCTCTTCATCCTGCGAATCATCATCATAATCTGCGGACAAGTTTCCACGTTGAAGACTTTGCTTGGCAATTGTTGCATTGTAAACATCGAAGGGGCTGTTTCCTTCATGATCTTTTACCTTTATCACAGATAATGGACCACGTTGAACCGAGCTTTCCAAGCCACTTGGATTCTGGCTATCCTTTTCTATAATGGCTCTGGCCAGAGTAATGTTTCCAAAATACAAAGCTCTATGTAGAGCCGTCCAGCCATTCTCCGTGTCCTGAGCGTATAAATCGATGGCTGGGTGTTCGATCAAAGCTAGCCCAAACTCGACTGCTCCCTCGGACTTCGACGAAGCTATTCGGCCGAGGAGCGTTATGCCGGCATAATCTCTACTATTGACGTCGGATCGGTTGAGGGGTTGGTTTGCTCCCTTTCCTGCATTTCCGCCCTGGGCTGAGGCCTTCCTGTTGTTCTTCACTACTCGAGGAGAGGTTGAGTATGCACCATTTGGACTTCCTGTTAACCCCAACCCAACTGCTGCCGACCCGCCACCATGATTCTTGGGTAGATTGTTGTGACCGTGTGCCAATAATTTCCGAAACCGTTCGATTTCGTCATCGTGGAAATATTTCCAGAGAAGATAGCTCATGTGTCGCAAAGGTGGCGAATGGAGGAGAACCTTCCGGGCACTTCAAATAACACCTCGCTGTGGCCTCAGGGGGACACGGCGTATTTAAAGGTGATTTGAAGGACAGGAAGACTCCTGGGAGAAACGAAAAGAAAAGGAAGATGGTCGAAAGGCTGTCTGCCAGTCGTTGAGTGGGTTGTCGCAAAAGGAGAGGAGGGTGTGGTGGGGTCTTCGAGTGCGCGCGATGGAAGGGGATTCTGAGGCTGGGGACGTCGAAGTCAGTGCTGTGATGATATCACCGTGAGGGATCTAATATCTTGCAGAATAAGTCTTGATTTTTGAGCAATTTGATTTGCGTTGATAGCTGTTTTGTATCTATTTTGTCAATCGGAGAGGAGTCATATCAGCTCAGTAATATAGATGTCCCGAGGTGGTGTGCGCTGCGATACTGGAACCATCCAATCAAATCTCACAATTCACGACGTGTACTGTTGAGAAGCTGCCATGGCCTTGTGGAAGTTCCACAGCTACACAGCACACCTGCAGGAACAAACAGGCACGGTTCCTGTCAAAGACAGATTTCTTTCAACCCTTGTGTTTACGTTCGGCGTGGTGCTGAACTTTTGTTTCTTTGGGGACAGCGAGCCTGCACACCTGCCCTGCTTTTATGGCGGTGTGGTATTTATGTTCCACCTCTCCTGGCCACCGTGATGCATATGTGGGGACCATTTCTAGCTCAGTCCGACTATCATTTTTTTGTATATATATTACTTACAGTGGTCAGTATGAAAGCTGCCACAAGTCTAGAAGCTGCTCAGGTAGGATGAGATATGAAGGTAAGACGAGATGTTACAGTCATTCTTTGTCTTTGAAAACATAAACAAAGAATGGACATGAAACAATGTTTATGAATTCAAAAACAATCCCATTCTTCCATTCTTCCCTTTAAAAGGCCTTTTAAAAGGGCTAAACTGTACCATCCAATACTGTATGTCTATCTTCTTTTCACCCATCATCGATAAGTCCCAAAAATGCATGTCATCTACGGACAAATCAAAGCTTTGAACAGTGAAGCATCACTCACCTCCTCCCAGGAAGACCAAGAAAACGAAGTGGAACCACGAATTTGCTTCAATCCCGACTGTTTATACCCTCTTGGACCAGCCTGTGCGGAATGCAGCCTTGAATTTGCGGAGAAGGAGAACCGACGAGTAGAGCGCCGTTCAGCAACCCGTTGGAATTCGACCGAGGAAGATACCAATAGACTTGTTACGCCAACAAATGAAGAAATAGGACAGGCCCGTCTAGGATCCATTACATCTCTAAGTAATGCGTCTATCGACACATTTGTCCCCAATCCAAGAAACAAAAAGTCTTTCCGGCACTTGACTGATATTTACCCAAATACCAAGTCAAGAGAGTCTTTTACGGACCTCAAAGCTGCTATCCGGAAGGACTCGCAGAAGTCGAGACCCAGTTCAAGTTCCTCTTCTTCTTCTACTGCTACTATCGTGGAAGCAGAAACAACACCCAAGCGTACATCCGAGAAAGCAGAATCCATCCTTTCACTCACTGAAGAGCCAGATACTGTTGACGAGCCAGTAGAGATCTCAGATCTCACACACGATTTTGAACGCCTACTGGCGCAAAATATCGTCCCAATACCAATCGAAAACTGGCTTGGAAGTATCCCAGAACCCATTCCAGAAACTTGGACTGAGAATCCCCAGAAGCTCAAACGTAAATATCTAGAGCCTTCGAGCCCCGAGTCTCAAAAGTCGATACATGAGCAGCCAACACGACAATCGCCTACCAAAATCCGCCGAAGAAGGACTCAACAGAACGAACTTTGTCCGCTTTGCTCAAATCCTATCGGTGATCCCAAAGATCAGCATCTAGTCAAATGCCAATTTGCACATGACGAAAGAGATCGAGAAGAACGCGCAAAACAAGCTGCTTTGGCTCGAGGTCAGAAATGGGGTTGATTTTATAAGCACTGAACTCCTGATAACTGTACAACATACACTCCTTGAGATGCTTATAATACCTTATCGACATATGGTAAGTTTAGGCTGCTGGCTTCATTTTCTCTCATACGTACGTTGCCCTCTTTATTTATATAAAATGACCTATTTGTATCCCCTCATATAAAGATCATTTCTCTTTTACCAATAACACTTTCCCATACAGTACCCTCCCTCCCGGCGGACAAGAAAAGTGGCAGAGATTCATTTTTTTAACTATTAGCGTAAGTTAATTCCAAGTACTAAAATATTCAAAATATCTAGAACAATTGCCCTCATTGTGCTATCGTTTTCAATAAATCATTTAATTGTTCCAAATAGATAATATAATATAGTGGTTTTTAGTTAAGATCAGATAAAAGAGATCTCTGCCACTTTTCTTGTCCACCGGGAGCCTCCTTGATTTTCATGTAGTGACCTAAAATCCATCTTAATACTTAAGATAACTCCTAGCAATAGAGCTAGTTATTTGTGAACTCTTCTCAGGATTTTGAACCTCTGACTTTTCCAAAATATTTCAATCCGCAACCCTCGTTCCCAACAGATAGTTCCACAGCTGTCAAGTCACTCATGTCACTTATGGCTGCCTGCTCATGCCGCGCAATTCTTCTTAAACATATACACAGAAATACTACCGAGCCACTCAAAAAAGCCCCTCAACTCCCCTCCTCCCTCCTAGCACCCCAAAATCCCCTCCCATAGCTAACAAGAATCTCCTCCCCCTTCCTAACCCCCCTCCCTTCCCTCCCCTTCCCCTTCCC